TCGCCGCCGTAAGTTATTCGCGCCCTGTGTGGTTTTGTTCGGGACCATACAAATTGCTGGTCCAGCGAGCTGGATCCTCGAATTAGTGCTCGTGAATCTCTTGCGGTTAACTATATTTGATAATCTTACGTTGAACACTTAACGTGCAGCCAATTTTAAACGGTGTAATGGAGCTGTTGCAGCGGAATCGAGCTTGGGTGAAATTGGCGATTGATCGCGCTTACAAGGCTGCCAAGCAACCGACCGAAGCCCCTACCAGGGAATCTCTTATGTATAGGCTTGAAAAATTGGAAGCTACCTATAAGGACTTTATGAGTATGAGTCAAGAATTGTACGCATATTCTGCGGAAGATAACTTCGTCGACCCTATTGAAGACATTGAGCAAACGGAGGAGAAACATTTTGCCAGTTTCTTCAAGTCAAACATCTACATTCAGGGAGGATGACGCAATTGATCGTTTAGCAATACAGCAAGCATCATTTTTGGAAACATTTGCGGCTAGCCGTAGTGAGCAAAACGTTCACCTAACGAAAATTCAGTTACCTAAGTTCAACGGGAAATACGAGGACTGGATTACTTTTCGCGACTTGTTTCTTAGCGCAGTGGGAACAAAGTCAGGGTTGAGCCGTACGCAAAAATTTCAATATTTGGTTTCATATCTAGAAGGCGATACCTTAGCCAGCATAAAACATATCCGTGTGACCGAAGACAATTATGAGCAGGCATGGGACCGCTTAGTCAAAAGGTACGACCGCAAACCGCTCATAATTAGATCACTGGTGCAATCGTTTTTGGCTCTTCCCACCCTCTCTTCAACTAACACATCGGTACTTCGCCAAATAGTTGCTGGAGCAGATCAAGCCATCAGAGGTCTGGACGCGTTGAATGTCACATCCCGCGACCCATGGCTAACTCAACTCTTGCTTAATAAATTAGACGAAGAAACGCGGAAAAAGTGGGCAGACAAATGCGATAACCAGAGCGAAAAAGGGTTCAGCGAGTTTCTCGAGTTTCTTTCTCATCGCTGTGACACATTTGAGGCGTGTTTACCTCCCCGCTCAGCCCACACACGTCGCGTCGCTTTGTTGGCAAATGTTGATGACAGGAAGAACAAACAATGCGTCGTTTGCACGGACAATCACACGCTTTGGCAATGCGCTCAATTCAAACAGTTATCACCGTCGTCACGTCGGGCAGCTGTACAAAAACAAAAGCTATGTTTTAATTGCCTTGCCTCTACGCATTCCGTGCGCTCTTGTCAATCGAAGCATAGCTGTAAAAAATGTAGCTCACGCCACCATACACTTCTGCATGATGAACGGTCTGCCCTCACACCCTCTTCTACTTCTTTTCCTTCATCAGCACAAAATAGTTGGGATCAAGATGAGCAAGTACCTGCTGTCACTGCGCAGCGTATGCACACGCCAACCCTAAAGCAAGCAGCGGCCAGCACTTTAAGCTCCGTTACTGCTGTTATGCCTCACACGTTCCTCCCAACGGTGGTGGCCGCAGTCGATGACAAATGGGGAAATCGGGTAAGCTGTCGAATATTGCTGGACTCTGGATCAACCATATCATTTGTGTCAGAAGCCTTTGTACAACGTGTCGGTCTATCACGTACAAACGGTCGTATATCAGTTTCTGGTCTATCAGCCTGCAATGCCGGAGTAACGCGAGGTCGGGTGTACTTCACTTTAAGCTCCAAATTGAACGACTCGACACTAGATATACACGCTTATATTCTCAGCAAGTTAACATCGCAAATTCCTGTTCAGACCGTGAATATTTCTTCATCATCGTGGCGATCAATTGTGAAACTACCACTCGCTGACCCTACATTCGCTGAATCAGCACCAATTGATGTATTGATTGGCTCCGATCAGTTGTGGAGCATTTACACTGGCGAGCAAAAACAGTTCGGGCCTAACATGCCGATTTTGCTGAATAGCGTGTTTGGTTGGGTGGTAGCTGGAACGCATTTTACCGAAAGCGAAGCTAACTTAACTGCTGCAACTCATCATGCTACCGTTAACATTGATGCGCTGTTTCGGTCATTTATGGAAGTCGAGGATGTCAAACCTACACCAGAAAAGATCAATATGGCAGATCCAGCAGAGGCCCATTTTGTTCGTACTCACACGCGTCGTACTGACGGTACCTACGTAGTCAAATATCCCTTCAAGGAAAAGGCACCGGCAATTTCATCAACTCTTTCGTAAGCTGTCACCAGATTACAATATATGGAACGCCGTTTCAAACGTGACTCATTTCTGAAGAGTCAATACATAAATTTTATGCGTGAGTATTTGTCGCTTGGCCATATGGCCCGTATTACGCCGCAGGAAGTTGACTGCCATCCATCGGAGTGTTTTTATCTGGCTCATCACGCAGTTCTCAAACCAGACAGCTCAACCACGAAATGCCGAGTCGTATTTGATTGATCCTGCAAATATTCTGGTGGCTACTCACTTAACGAGCGTTTGCATATTGGCCCACCCATTCAGCGTGATTTGTTTGGCGTGTGTATTCGTTTTCGTCAGCATCGTTACGTTTTCTCAGCTGACATAGAGAAAATGTTTCGCGGCATTATGGTATCAGATTCTGATACTAAATTCCAACGAATCGTTTGGCGGGAGGATGCGGGTTCACCAGTGGAGCATTACCGACTACTCACGGTAACCTACGGCCTTGCTGCGTCGCCTTTTCTTGCTGCACGTGTTCTCAAGCAACTGGCAGAAGACCATAAGGTAACCTACCCATTTGCAGCGCGTGTAATATTGAATGATACGTATGTATACCGGATGTGATAACGTCGACGAGCTACTCCAGCTTAAAACTGAACTTATCGAGCTACTAAAACGTGCAAATTTTAAGTTACAAAAATGGTGTTCGAATTGCAAACCGTTGTTGGAAACCTTACCAAGAGAGCTGTGTGAGCATAGCCCAATCGACATCGCTTCCGAGCCCAACATTTTATGTGTTAAATTGCTTGGAATACAGTGGAGCCCTGACACGGACGAGTTCCAGATAGCAACTAAATTGCCTGAGTCATGCAGCGAGCCAACGAAGCGCAGTATGTTATCGACAACAGCCAAAATCTTTGATCCTCTTGGTCTGGTTTCACCGAGTGTCGTGCTCTTTAAAATACTTTTACAAGAAACTTGGTGTCAAGGTGTCGACTGGGATACTAAGCTGCCACCCACTTTGAGTGATCACTGGAAGAAAATACTATCCAATGTCAGGATTCCACGTCAAATAGCTCCAGCCGGCGTCTCCATCGAAATCCACGGCTTTGCAGATGCCTCATCGTCGGCATACGCAGCTGCAGTTTATAGTAGATCCAAGCTAAGTGACGATTCCTTCGTTGTAAATTTAATTGCCGCAAAAACCAGGGTCGCCCCGTTAAAGCGCCTGTCAATTCCGCGCTTGGAATTAAGCGCCGCTCATTTGCTACCCAAATTGGTAACATCTATTACTACCTCTCTCACCTTGAAAATTGCGAATATGTATTGTTGGAGCGATTCTGAAATCGTGCTGCACTGGCTTTCATCGCCCCCTCGTAGATGGACGTTGTTCGTGTGTAACCGTACTGCAGACATACTCGATGTTTGCCCTCACCAGCATTGGCACCATGTGCGATCAGCTGATAATCCCGCTGACTGTGCGTCCCGTGGTGTGCTTCCAACTGAATTAGCTCGTCACTCGCTTTGGTGGCATGGGCCATCATGGTTATCTTCGCCTCGAAGCCAATGGCCAACTTTCGGCAACACCACCCCATCGAATGACTCACATGTCATTATCGAACAACGCAAACCTCCTTCAGACATAGTTCTTTGTGCGCAAGATGACCAACCCGCTTTGGATAAACTTATAACAAAATCTTCGACATGGATACGTTTGCTACGTGTTGTGGCATACTGTCAGCGCTTTATTCGAAGGTGTCGCCGAAGTGAAGCAGAACCAAATCCTCTTACAAACGCTCTGAGCGCCCGCGACCTCAAACTGGCCACAAATGCTATTGTTCGCTACTGTCAAGTGAACACATTCAGGGAAGAAGTATGCCAGCTCAAAATGGGACAGCCGTTGAAGGCGAAGTCTAGATTACTTCGTTTCACTCCATTTTTGGATGAGGTCGGTGTTCTTCGCGTTGGAGGGCGTATCAAGAATGCTTTCTTGCCAGACTCAGTAAAGCATCCAATTTTATTGTCCAAAGTTTCTAATGTTTCTCAGCTTATTTGCAGGTACATCCATGCTAAGTACTTGCACCCAGGTGTTGATGCCACTTTTGCTATTGTCAGACAACACTACTGGATTATTGGCTGTCGTAATATCGTTCGAAAGATAGTGTTTTCTTGCAAAACCTGCTTCCTGCAACGCCGCAGTACCAGTGAACAATTGATGGCGGATCTTCCAGCTGTACGAGTGCAACCTGCTCGCTGTTTTCAACATTGTGGTCTAGACTACGCAGGACCTGTCCAAATCAAACTGTCCCGAACGCGCAACGCGAAGACTGGAAAGGCATGGTTCGCTCTGTTCATTTGCATGTCAACAAAGGCCATACACATTGAGCTCGTAAGCGATCTTACGACAGATGCATTCCTAGCAGCATTTCGTCGCTTTGTCGCGCGTCGAGGAATGCCAACCGACTTATATTCTGACAATGGTACAACATTTCATGGAGCTTATCGAGTGTTAAACGAACTTCAAAAATTCGCTGTATCTGAAGCGCATACTCGTGAATTGTCTGATGCTCTGGCTGCTGAAGGAGTTCAGTGGCATTTTATTCCGCCATCCGCGCCCCACTTTGGAGGACTCTGGGAGTCGGGCATACGGTCTATTAAGTTGCATCTTCGTCGAGTCATTGGGAACAACGTATTACCTTTCGAAGAATATTGTACCGTTCTCGCCCAAATTGAGGCTATCATAAATTCTCGGCCCTTATGCGCATCCTCAGACACCGAGTCGAATGCCCTAACACCCGCCCACTTTTTGATTGGGGCGCCATATACATCGGTTCCAGAACCTTCACTCTTGGATATAAATGTAAACCGCCTTAAACATTGGCGACACCTCCAAGCAATGGTCCAAGGCTTTTGGAAGCGGTGGCATGTAGAGTATGTGACGTCGCTACAAGCACGGAATAAGTGGCAACGACAGCAGCTCAACATTGAGCCAAACACGGTAGTTCTCCTGAAGGAACCAAATCTACCGCCATCAAAATGGCTCATGGGACGTGTCCCAGCAAAAAACACGATTACCACAGAAACGAAAGTGGAAACGAGCTAGGCGATGGGAATCGCTTACCCTTTCGCTTCAAGAAGGCCTTATTTTAACATGGGCATGTCATTGGAGGTAAGCCCTTACCCGCAGCATTACCTTCAAACGAAGGGAGAACGCATGGATAAACAGAATCCAGAGAAGCGAACAAAGAATGCCTTACAGAGAAACTAATGTAGAATGCCTAGATAAGTACATACTTATTTATATTAAATTGAAATCAGAAAATGTCTTAAAAGATTAAAATTAATTAACATTTTTATAAATCAGCTTTTATACAAACATATGTATTTATTTAGGTATTTAGATTTTCTTAAAAATCGGTATGTACATACATGCATATTTAACTAAGCTTAAAATTGTACTTCCTCACTGTTGTACTTCACTTCATTGACTGACTTCAACTTCGCTGCAAATTGAACAAAGCAAAACATGATTTTTATGCGAGACAAATTTCCACAGAAAGTAACGGTAGAAAAAGAATTTTTGGGTATTCATTCTATTTTTGAGCTGACTACGATGCAGCATTCTACTTTGCATTCTCCGAAATGAAGCAAAGAAGCGACACAAATAAAATATTGTAGGACATTCTACTTTGAATTCCCTTAAATGAAGCAAAGAAACGAATTAAAAAGGAAATATTATAGGACATTCTACTTTGCATTCCCCGAAATCAAACAAAGAAGCGAAATAAATAAAATATTTTTGAACATTCTACTTTGCATTACCGGCAATGCCTAAAAGAAGCGGAAAAATTCGAAAGCATTATAACGCTATGCCTTCTAGAACACGTTACCACTAAAAGCGATTACCGATTTTTTGCTGGGGTAGTGACAGCAAACCGAGGAAGCGATGGTCTGGTTCGAGTGGCAACCATACAAACGTCTCGTGGTCAATATATTCGGCCAATTGCAAAAATTGCGGTCTTACCACTTACCTGAACCAATGGTTCAGCGGGGGCGGTATGTTGCGGAACGACACACTCTTTATCTAAGTTAGTTCAATTCTCTGTTATGCGTCGGTAGGTATGTACGTATGTACATAAGCAAACATATTGGTATGTAGTAACAGTTACTCCTTTTATACAGTCCACTTTATGTATGTACATATTTGAATGCATAAAAAGGTACGCTTTGTAGTTAGCAGTAAGTTTAATGCATTGTCAGTCCACCTGAAGCAAATAAAGAGATAGGTTCGTCCGCCTTTGAATTCACGGTAACGTGGTAATTACTTATTTTCTTTCGGGCATTGCCTTGCTAGTTTCGCCGCCGTAAGTTATTCGCGCCCTGTGTGGTTTTGTTCGGGACCAAGCAAGGAAAGAAAAAATTTTCAAAACCTGTCAATAGATTTTACTACTATTTTCCTGAGCACAGCTGTACATACATACGTAATACCTTTGTTTTGTTTTAAAGTAATGAATTATTATATTGATTATACTATATGTATTTAAAAGTCTATTAGTTACTTTTTGTTAAATTAATGCGCTGTTATTTGGTTGTTATATTGTTAATAATAAAAAATACGCTTAAAAATTAGCTGATTTTTATGACTTTGTACTGATTTTTGATCCCAACTGTACTGATTATGTCACTATAATATCTGGCCACCCTAGCCACGCCTAGTTCAAAAATCGACAGACGAAAGAAAAAAGCATCATGATTTTTCAATCTTTTTGGTTCTTCCGTGTGTGGGATTTTAAGTTATTTTGGAAGAAATGTGTTTTCAATTTGAAATTAAATTTGTTTGAATGATTGCAAGAAATGTACGTTTACATACCTTTAGCTGTAGCTGAGTTTGCAGAGGTGCTCGCTGTTATTTCTCAGATTCCAGACTGTCCCAAGATGTTAAAATATTAACACAAATTTTAGTTTTGTATTACCAAGCTATGAAAAAGCATCTGCGAAGCACAGAATAGAAGCGTATTTGAGCGAAAACGCCGCCGAATACATATCTATGTAAAGTAAACAAGCCCCCCGCTGCATCCCTTATTCGATAGTTCCGAGCTAGTTCGTTCTGCATCCCTTTTTCTATAGTTCCGAACTATTTCTAAATTCGTCACTTTAGATATAGATTTCTAGTGAAAAAAACTGAAAAAAATTAGTTTTTTAAAAGTGCCACTTTTCGCCGATTTTTGACTGGTAGGGCTCTAGTTCCTATCGGCCTAGTTCCTTTTTGGCGATAAAGACCTAGTACGGAACTAGAAATTTGATTCACTAGTCCGCGGTTTCCCTACTGGGATATACCTTACTGTACGCACCTACCATAGTTATGTCTGTATACCAAATTTAAAGTTCATGTGCCTTATAGTCCGGATTTATAGCTGATAAAATATTCCTATGGGATGTGCCACGCCCACTTTTACAAACTCATTTATATATACCCTAATATAAGCAACTACCATCTGTGTGACTGAATAACAAATTTCAAGTTCATATGACTTATAGTTTCGGATTTATAGCTGATAAAATATTCCACGCCTATTGGATGTGCCACGCCCACTTCTACAAACTCATTTATTTGTACTATACTATAAGCACCTACCATATATATGACTGCATAGCAAATTTCAAGTTCATGTGACTTATGGTTCCGTAGTTATGATTGATAGCAAACTTCCCGCCTATGGGAGGTGCCACGCCCCCTTGTCGATTCCCAATTTTTTTTACCCTATTATAGGCCCAGGTGTCATGGCAATAATCTGTCAAAAGTTTGTTCGATTCTGTACGTCCGTTTAGGCTGCAACCTGGCACATACATGCATACATACATACTTCCACAAATATATAGTAGATATAGCCTTCTCTTTGCGTAAAATAATTTTTGGGGATGTCTCGGCCACAGGGCCACCTATCGTGTAAGTTTCAAGTCCAAATATTTCTTTTAAATTGGCTAAATTGTTTTGTAAATATGAGCCAAATCGGCAAGTAAATGCAATTTTTATGAATATCCCGACCCCAGCGCCACCTAGCGATCAAATTTTTAGTATATGCTCCAAATATAAACGAAATCGGTTCAGCGGTTTGGTAATTTAGTGAAATACAATATACGGAAAACTCTATGAAATTGTGAATTCGTGACGTCTCAGCATTCTTTATTTTTCGGCAACAACAAAAAATTTAAAATTTTTTTAAATAGAAAAACCTTCCACACGGAAGGTGCAAAACAGTACTTTTTACAGAATTGAAATCGGTTCAGCCGTTTGGTCAGGTATCGCCGTCATACGGAAAACATTTCATTTTTATATATATAGACTAGCAGAGCACCCGACGTCGTTCGGGGTAAACAAATCTATATATATAAAATAATAGCCGTTTTCGTTGTTCGGAGTTAACTCAAACTACTGCATAGATTTCGGTCAAATTTTCAGAGGTTATACCTTGCATATATGGTCCTATTATAGGCTACCATAAAACTCGATAGGTGGCGCTGGGGTCGAGTTATTTATAAAAATCGTATTTATGAACCGATTTCTTTTAAATTCAAAACGTGAGCTACCAGCATGATGGCAAACACGTTTACCAAAAATAGACCCGCTAGGTGGCGCGGGAGTCGCGTTAATTATAAAAGTCGTATTTATGAACCGATTTCTTTCAAATTCAAAAGGTATAGTTTGAGCATAATGGAAAATACGTTTACCAAAAACGTAGCCGCTAGGTCGCGCGGGAGGCAAGTTATTTATAAAAGCTGTATTTATGAACCGATTTCGTAAGCATGATGAAAAAAGCACTTGCGAAAAACGGACCCGCTAGGTGGTGCTGGAGTCGAGTTATTTATAAAAGCCGTATTAATGAACCCATTTTGTTAATATACATTCGAAACGTTTATTACTTTCATGATGATTTTTTTTTCATTCGAAACATATTCAGCCTTATCATGAGTTTCATCTTCCCTGAACCGGTTCACTTTTCGCTTTTGGTTTCCATATACTTACTATGGGGGGAATCAAAATTTTCTCGGGAATTTTTTTTCGGGCGAAACTC